TATATATATATATATATGATATGCCCCATATATATCTCGTTAAAAATTACCTATTATATACATATATATCAATAGATCAGTGTATATATCAAATGACATAGTGCTGTAAGCTAGCGTTATGTGAAGACTGTAAATGCAGTAGAAGGTAGTTTGAGTTAGGGAACTCTGGAAGAGGTGAGATTTGAATTGGTCTTTGAAGGGGATGTAAAATTAGAAAAGATGTAAGAAATATGCTGAAAAGTTACTGTCAGGTCATCGAGGGAGTATATTAAGGAAACATGACTGGAGCAGAAGATAGCCTTTGATAGGTAACTAAGAGATAAAGTTTAACGAGGTGGGAAGGGAAATTGTTAAAGTCTGAGGGAGACAGCAATGTCTCATAAGAAGATAAGCTTGCTGTCGAGATGGGATGGAGATTGTTAATTAGAGGAGCTTTAAACAAGAGTGCATATTATTTTTACTTAAAGAATATTTTGTTCAAACCAGGATCCAGTATGCGTGTTGCATATTTTGATTTCAATTACTGATTAGGTTAAATGCCTCACAAGTATGCATGTTCCATAGCAGCACATACTTCATCTTTTGAAGTCTATTTGATGTACTTAGGCCCTTCTGTTGGAATTTACTGAAATGATATATATTTCAATAAATATATGTGTTTTCTTGTCCTGACCAGTCTGCTTTTGAAGGAAAAAAGCCCAGTGTTCTATGTTATTTGCAACCTCACAAAGTGTCCATCTAGCCAGTGACACAGTTTTGCCTGGGATTATCTCTCATCATGACCTGTGAGTTTTGCAGTTACTGCTGATTCTGTATAAAATAAAATGTTAGTTGGTTGGGAAAGGAATCTTCCTGATGGATATTGAAAAGTACTGACAAAATAATTTGACTAGTAGAGACACTGCTGCTAAATATTGAGCTATTTATAACACCTTTTGTACTAGGAAAATTCTTTTCAGTGGTATGTAAATTTAAGATTGAATTGCTAACTGAGCTGTATAGAGTTGCACAGCAAATGTTGCATTATTAAATAACTCAGCAAATGTTTATTGGATGCTAGCTGTGACTAGCCATTCTGTTGGGTGCTGGGCAAACAGATGAGTAAAATAAGTGCCCATCAGAGGAAATAAACCACTAGACATGCTGTGATAAATTGCACTAGGGAATAGATAACTTTTGCTGGAGAAAAAATTGGTAAGTCAAGAAGGCTTTGAAGTGAAGAGGATGGAGTTTCACACTGAAGGTTAAGTAAAATTTTGCCACAATGTAAGCAGAGGGCAGCATTCCAACCAGAGGTGACAGCACAGTGTTATTAAAGATTAACACGGAAGGCTTTTTTTTTTTTTTTTTTAAATGTCTAGAGTTGTTTCTTGCAGGGTTGATGCATGACAGTAGTGGTGAGATCGGAAAGGTTATTTTGGAGCCAAATTATGAGGGTGTCTTCTGATTCAAAAAGTCTAGCTCTCCTTCCCACCATTTAATTGGCAATGGAGAGCATAGAAAGTACAATAACCAGATCAGAAAGTTAATTGACAGTTCGTGTGCAGATTACATTAGAATGGAGGGGCAGAGAGATCAATTAGAATGTAGCTGAGGAATGTTGGTAGCCCATGGGACACTGGAAATGGATTGTTTGTAGAGACATTTTTGATGATAAAAGTTTTACATTTAATGAACAGATAGACCTGAGAGAAGTCAAAGATGACACATAAACCTTGGGGAACTGGGTGATTGTGATGACCTGAAATTAAAAAATATAGAAGGAGGAACAGGTTTACAATGGAGAGAAGAAATGATGTCATGTTATGTTAATTTTAAGATGTCTGTGGGAGTTTAAGAAGAAAGAACCACTAGTTAATTGAAAATTCTACTTCAGAGTGCAGGGAGGATTAGGAGCAGTTGTAATGTAAATGACAACTGAAGCTCTGGGAATAGCAGCAACCTTCTAGGAACTGTGTTGTAAAGTAGTTAGCCTGTGGATTTTGCAGTTAGGAAGATTTGCAATGAAATCCCCATTATGGCATTTATTGATTGAGTGAACTTGGACAAATTATTTGATATCCTTAACCTTCAGTTTTTTATTTGAGTTAGAGAAATGTTATAGAGATTAACTAAGGTAGTGTGTAAACAGTAATTACCACAATGCTTAGCTTTTGAATATTTAATAAATGGTGGCAGTTACTCATGTTAATAGTAATAGATGCCGCAGTACGAGTGACAGCTGGGGATACTCACACTATACTAATGAGGACGACGCCTAGCAGTAGGAGGAGAAGGTTCCACTACCCAGAAAAATGGAAAATGGGAACTGGAAAAGACAGTGGATGAAACTTCTAAAAATCAGCACTTAGGTCATTGTTTGAATTTAGGTCAGTTCTGATGTAGATTAGTTGCTAGTCTGTTTTGTGTTTCTGTTACAGAATATCAGAGGCTAGGTGATTTTAAAAACCACACATTTGTTTCTCCACAGTTCTGGAGGCTGAGAAGTCCAAGATCAGGTGTTGGCATCTGGTAAAGGCTTTCTCACAGCATCATAACATGGTAGAAAGCATCCTACGAGCAAAAGAGACAGACTAACGGGGGTTGAACTCATCTCCTGCAATAATAACACTCTGAGGTCTTGATAAAGCACAGATCTGTGTCCTACCCCATAGTCTCTGATTCAGTGTGTCTGGACTGGGGCTTAAGATCAAGGTCTCAGGTGCTGCTGATGCTGGTCGAGCTGGGACCGAACTCTGAGAACCACTGACTTAAGACTGGTGTAGGTGAAAGAACAATCAGCTTGGATACTAATAAAATAAGGGAGAACCAAGAGAGAGTTTAGAGAACAATTGGGAATTAATTAGCCTCTGTATTCTCTAGGACCAGTTGTCTGATGTGCATTTCTGTAGACATCATTCTTATTTTTGCCTTGTCCAGAATCTGTTATAAAATGCCTGTTACATCAGTGCTTGATCAATCCTTTGAAGCTGTTTAAAGCTGTCCTTATGCCTGATTGCATGTACTTCACGCAGAGATTTGGTTTGTCCTCATATCTTTGCTTAGTCACAGTGAGGTTACTATTTCTAATTTTACATACTCAGAAATGTCTTTCAGATAGCTCTTGTATAACTATGTGCATTTACTTTTGTGTTAAATGGCTCCTTTCCTCCTCTTAAACTGACAACCTAGTTTGCAACATAATTGTCAATAACATGTGCCG